ACGAACCTGCATCTCTACCTTAAATGCTTTGACTTATTATATTTAAATTTTATATATTCGTTATACATCATGTTATATATGTACATGTATTCAAAATGGCTGATTTTGAATGCTGTTCCAGAACAATATCTCTCAATATGGACAACTACTTTTTTGACGATCAGATACAAATGTCAATCATTTTAAATCATATTCCTGACATGGTTATATTCCAGCTATATTACTATAAACAAAACTATATATCTTAAATTTGATAACTAACAGGGACTGTGCCATGCATAGCTTGTTTTTTATTTTTTGTAGCTGAAATATACCCAGAGAGTCAAACCAAGACAGTAAGTTGGGGAGATGATGTAACACTGACAATGACCATACAATTAACATCAATATCAGAGTCACAGTTGAAATGGAAACATAATGGTGTGGATATAGATGCATGGAATGGACAAAGTAGTATTACTATTACATCAGTTAAACTATCAGATGCTGGAATTTATGAATGTTATACTAATCAAACACAACGAGAAGATGGAAAGAATGGTTTTATGAGACTTATTATTAGACGTAAGTTAATGCTTCAATAAATAACACAATACACAAGGTTTTGCCAAAAGTATAAGGGGAAGCGAGTTGCGAACACAGGCGTCGCAGCGAACAGCTCCATGATGTGACTTACCTGTGAATTGCATCATGACGCTGAGCGTGTGGTACCTGGTCGCAACCTTCCACCAGCAGAGACTGAACAGGTGGCTGTCATAGCTGGGGTCCCCCTGGTGGGAGCCTGCAGATAGGCTCCCCAGGGGGATGGACATTGTGGGTACCCATGTAAAGTCTGCTTGGTCTGTGGTGGAAACCCCCTTACCTGTTTATTGCTAAGGTTGTTCATGAGCAGATAAACATGAGTTACAATTGAGTGAGATTGGTAATTGTTTAGAAAGTGGTTATATAGAAACCTGAGCATGAACGGGTGGGTGGGAGGTCTGCTGAGACGATGTGTATCATACAGTGCGACAAAACGAACTAATACTTGAAGGGGACACAAGCACTGATAAGCAAATGAACAGTCTGGTGTTAATTAATGTAAATCCGACTGAAGGACGAAATGTGAGCAAATATTGCATGAAGTACAATGTGGCATGGGAGGTGTGAAAATATGAAAGGGGGGATGCCAGCCTCGTCAATGCATGTCATAATTACTACCTTATACCATGGAACTATAAACCCCAGGAAGAACAACGAAACTAAGAGGATTAAAAAAACCTTTGTCTTAGTTTATCTTACAGTGCTTTCGCTTTTGTTTCCACAAC